CCAGGCGCTAATGCCCAGTGCCCACCCAGGCTAATGCGCGCGCACACGTTTGAACTTTCTACGGAAGTGTTCCATTTCTACGGAAGCATTGAAGTTCTACGGAAGAGCTACATTTCTACGGAACAGCGACGGCTTATACCACGGAAGAGCTAGATTTCTACGGAACAAGCTCGCGACTGTTTCCACAGAACAGCTATTTTTCTAAGGAACGATCGCAGATTTACAAGGAACGATTGCAGAATTCTAAGGAAAGATGTTCAATTCTAAAAATAACAGTTGTATTTTTACAGAACGACACTACATTTTCAAGTAGAAGCGTTGTCCCTTGTGGGCCACCGTACATTTGTGGATAAATCTTAATGTTTAATAGTTTATATATATGATTAACAGTTAGAATGTCTGTACTGTCGCAATTTGTAATAAATCCATCTTACTTTGTAATACCATCCGCAACTTGTAATAAACCGTGCCGAAATTTGTAATAAAAAAGCTGTTGCAATTTGTAATAACTGTCCATCGCACTTTGTAATAAACTAAGCTGTCGCAATTTGTAATAATTCCATCGCACTTTGTTATAAACTTAAATTATTTTCTTTGGTCAAACACGCATGTCTTCCCTTATAAATTTTTCTGCCTTAATCAAGAGACCAACGAGAATCGCTTTAACATGAAAGACATGAAACTTCCTGTGACATGTCACCAAAAAACGGATATGAATCATTTCATATACTTGAATTCAGAAATATCTGAATAACAAAAGAAACATTTAACAACAGAAAATTCATGAATAACCTGGCATTCGTCGTCTCAATCCATGTTTGCTCGCTACGTTACATGTGAAGTCTTCGGGGTTGGGGCGGGGGATAATCTCCCATATACATGTCTGGGCTAGGCAGGTAAATACCGCTGAGGATCTCATAACATTTTTTACATTGTTGGCTTTGTGCCTTTGGTTTGATCCGTAGATAGGGTAACTCAGGTAGTAATGGATGGTTTGGTTTATTATCCTTTCCTTATTTCGTGGAAAAAAAATAATCCTGAACACGCTCGGAAGAATTGAAGGGTCTTACGAGTTGTACGCAGGGAAGGAGAATTTTTTACTATCCCCACGGTATTTGCTTTAGGGGGCTCCATAGAAAAAATTGTTTTAGGATGGAATGATACTCCTTTTGTTCCTGTATGGGACCAAATCAAGAGAGAATAATGGTCCAAATAGTCAGCCGGCTCAGTGTATGACCCTAAGTGAGTTTTATAAAAACAGGTTCATACAAAGGTATTGGCCAGCGACTAATTGGATTTTGTGTTACTTTATGTTTCTGTTGTGGTTCGACGATTTGCCACTGGTGATGTTTTTGTTTATTTGCAGTAAATTACATTTTGAATTTTTACAGGCCTCGTCTGATTAAGTTCGCCAAAATATGGAAGCCACTATTACATCTTTTAAGATTGCGCGTTAGACAAGGACGGTGTTGTGTCGGCCTGTTATAAGATCTAACAAGGACAGCTTCCTGGTGTCCTTATTTGAATGATGTAAGGATGGATGTTACGATTAGTGGAAATTAAATGCCTTTTAATAATGGTTCGTTTGTATCTAGTGTGTCTAGATTCTGTACTCTGACAACGCTCTGTCCAGTGGCACATCCCCGTATTGGCCATATAAGGGAGTACACCCCCAGGTAACCATTGCATGCAAACCATCTAGTACAATAGCAAGGTTTAAGAATACAGAATTTCGTACGTCAGATAACTAATCAACATTAATTAGGACCGCGAATAAAGTTAAATGGTTTGAATGAGCGGAGACATAAATTATAAAAGTAATTTTGTAAGTTACGTGCTTGCAGACGTCATCATCTTTGTTTACGAAGTACCATTCATATTTTGGCATTATATTAATGTTGACAAAGTAAGTTGAATCATTCTCAAAAAGTTATTACGAAGTGCAATGGAATTATTACAAATTACGACAGCTTAGTTTATTACAAAGTGCGATGGACAGTTATTACAAATTGCGATACCTTTTTTATTACAAAGTGCGACACGGTTTATGACAAATTGCGAAAGGTATTACAAAGTGCGATGAATTTATTACAAATTGCGACAGGTATTACAAAG